CAAGTCTTGTCTAATCACCTCTTCCCAATACTTTTTAGGCCTACCTCTACCCCTCCGCGTACCCTCTACCACCATCACCTCGCACCTTCTCACTGGGGCGTCTGCGCTCCGTCTCTTCACATGTCCAAACCATCTCAGTCTCGTTTCCCTCAGCTTGTCCACCACAGAGGCCACTCCCACCTTCTCCCGGATAACCTCATTCCTAATCTTGTCGCTCCTAGTGTGCCCACACATCCATCTCAACATCCTCATCTCCGCAACATGCATTTTTTGAACATGTGCGTTCTTGACTTGCCAACACTCCGCTTCATACAACAAGGCCGGTCTAACTACCACTCTGTAGAACTTACCTTTAAGTTTTGGTGGAATTTTCTTATCACACAATACTCCAAAGGCAAGCCTCCATTTCATCCAAGCAACCCCAATGCGATGTGTGACATCATCGTCGATGTCACCACTCCCTTGGATTACAGACCCAAGATACTTAAAACTTTCTTTCTTAGGAATGATCTGTGTGGCAAGTCTCACTTCCACATCTGTCTCATCCAACACATCACTGAATTTGCACCCCAAATATTCTGTTTTGGTCCTACTCAACCTGAACCCTTTGGACTCCAGTGTTTGTCTCTACACCTTCAACCGCGCATTAACTCTGTCCCGCGCCTCATCAATCAGTACTATGTTATCCGCAAATAACATACACCATGGGACCTTCTCCTGAATAGACCACGTCAACTCATCCATCACCAAAGCCAATAGGAAAGGGCTAAGGACTGATCCCTGGTGCAGCCTCATCTCAACTGGGAAATGTTCTGAGTCTCCTCCAACTGTTCTAACCCGAGTCTTGGCTCCACCGTACATGTCATTTATCGCCCTAATATAAATCATCGGGACTCATTTAGACTCCAAGCACCTCCAGAGGACATTCCTCGGTACTTTGTCATAGGCCTTTTCAAGGTCAATGATCACCATATGTAGGTCTTTCTTTCTTTCTCTATATTTTTCTACCAGTCTACGCATAAGATGAATGGCTTCGGTAGTCGAACGTCTCGGCATGACTTCAAACTGATTCTCAGAGATGGACACCCCTCTTCTCACCCTCATCTCCACCACTCTCTCCCAAATCTTCATAGTATGGCTCAACAATTTGATACCCCTGTAGTTGTTACAGTTTTGGATATCACCCTTGTTTTTATACAACGGAACCATTTACTCCACCTCCATTCATCAGGCATTTTTGCTATCTTAAAGATAACATTAAACAGCCCAGTTAACCACTCTATGCCTGCCTTGTCCGTGCTCTTCCAAAATTCCACCGGAATCTCATCGGGTCCGGTCGCTCTTCCCCTGCTCATCCTACTAATAGCCCGTATAACCTTCTCGGTCCTAACGCACCTAAAGTCTTTCAGAGTGCGCTAAATCACCCAACACAATGTCTCCTTCCCCTTTTTCATTTAAAAGTTTGTGAAAGTAGCTTCGCCATCTTTGCTTGATGGAGGTCTATTCCACCAGTATTTTGCCTTCCTCATCTTTGATACACTTCACTTGGTCCAAGTCGCGCGCCCTCCTCTCTCTTGCTTTTGCGAGCCTATACAACTTCTTATCCCCACCTTTGTCCCCCAGCTCGACATACAAGCATTCGAAAGCTGCCGTCTTCGCCTTCATAACAGCTAACTTAGCTTCTGTCTTTGTCGTCTTATAAACTTTCTTAAGCGTCCGCTTCTCTTCCTCGTCTACGCACTCCGCCAATTTTGTGTTTGCAGCCTTCTTCACTTCCACTTTGCCTTGGACTTCCCCATTCCACCACCAATCTCCTTTATAACCTCCAAAGTTACCCCTTGACACCCCTAACACCTTAGAAGCAACTTCCCTAATGCAACTAGCTGCTTTATTCCACATGCTGTCCGCATCCCCGCTACCACTCCAAGCCCCCATCCCCATCAACTCCTCACCCATCTCCCGAGAAAGGGCAGGGGTCAACCCACCCCATTTAATCCTCGGTCGATCAGATACCATCTTCTTCCTCTTATCCCTCTTAATTTTCAGGTCCATCACCAAAAACTTGTTTTGGGTAGTGAGGTTTTCACTTGGGATGACCTTGCAGTCCTTAAAGAGACCTCTATCACCCTTCCTAAGGAGTAAGTAATCTATCTGAGTCTTAGCTACCGGGCTACGAAAGGTAACCAAGTGGTTCTCCTTCTTCGGAAAGCATGAGTTAGCAATCACCAACTCAAAAGCCTTAGCAAAATCTAGAAGCAAAGTTCTATCTCCATTTCTCTCCCCAAAACCAAAGCCTCCATGAACATCATCAAAGCCACTAGAAGTTTCCCCGATGTGGCCATTAAAATCTCCACCAATGATAATTTTCTCGGTATTCGATATACCTCTAACTACCTCATCCAAATCCTCATAAAAGAGCTTTTTGGCCTCCTCGTCCAAGCCCACTTGAGGGGCATAAACACTAATAACACTCAAAGTACATCCTCCAATGACTAGCTTAATCGTCATCAGCCTATCATTGATCCTCCTAACCTCCACCACTTGCTCCCTCAAATCCCCGTCTACTAAAATACCCACTCCATTTCTATCCTTTGACCCCCCTGAGTACCACAACTTAAACCCGTCAACATCCCGAGCCTTGGAGCCTACCCATCTAGTCTCTTGGACACAAGCTATATTTATCTTTCTTTTCTTGAGAATTTTCACTAGCTCTATGGACTTCCCCGTCAACGAACCTATGTTCCATGATCCTACCTTCACGTTATGTGAACCCGTAACCCACTTACCACTATTTTCCCTCGACCTCGGCCTCAACCGAAGACATGACTCACTACCACCATCAGATACCAAATCCACTAGAACGATACTGCAACCAAAGTAAGATCTACACAGGAATACACTAAAAATTGCAACAGGAGTATACTCTAAAAGACAATATAGCAACAGCTATACTATAGGGTCAAGTACAGTGTGTACTCTAAAGGAAACGATAACACCAAATATACTATAGACTGAAGCACAGGTCCGAACTATAATAGAAAACAAGGAAGTACTGTTCCGGGATATAGGATCTGCAAGAAAGGGCCCAGAAACTAGATTCAGAGCATAAAAAAAGAGAGAGAAAGGATAGATAGAACCTGGTCGGTGAAGATGTAGGGTTTCGGTGGTCTATGGGCAATTTTCCGGCCAGATCTGGTTGGTCTCCGGCGACAAACAGTAGCACTGCCGTCTCTCTTCTGGGCTGGTCGCCGGGGAAGATAGATGAGTTCGCCGGAGAAGCTGAAAAATGTTCTTGCCTTCGCCGGGGTTGGCTGCTCGCCGCTTGCTGGTCCGAGCAGCTGGAGCTGCTGTTCGTTGTTGTCGTCCTCACTGGAGCTTAGGAGAAGAGAGAGAAAGAGGCTCGCCGGTCGGAGCTGGTCCTCGCGCTGCTTCTGGCCGGCGCAGCCTTCGATTGCGGACGAGAATACCAGAGAGAGAGAAGAGAGAGTATCACATACAAAAAACTAATAAAGTCGTGTATTTCCTAATAGTTGACTTATAAATGAGAAAATATTCCTGAAAAAATGATTACCTAAACGTCTACCTTAATATACAACTAAAGTAATTTAAATTTGTTAAAATTTGTGCAATTAGTAGTTTTAAGATAAAGTTTATATGTATGTGACAGGTTGATGGTATTTATCTTTTTCTTATTCTTTACCACTTTTATTTGTATCAAAATATTGAGATGTATTTAAGTTTATTTAGTTAAATAAAGAGTGTTTTTAAAATTGTCAATAATTTGAGGCTGAAATCAATAATCTTCGTCAAGCTTGGAATATTTTCAATATTTTTGTCATTTATCATATATTGACATTGAATGGAGACCAACTTGGGCTATATGGGGTCATCATCCTTATCTCTTTTCTGTGTTAGGTACAATGCCTTGGTCCCTTTCCTTTGTCCTTTTCATCCTTTCAACAAGTCATTTTCAAGTCTCGAATTCAACATTTAAAGTTTATATATTTTTATAGTTATTACATTATAAATACTTATGAATTACTAAATAAGTAGGTGCTTGACCGATTTGAGACCTCAAAGTTTTTTATTTGGAATCGACGTTTATTTATGAGATTTGCACAAAATTTCAACTTCAATCTTAAATCCCAAATTCTTTTACAAGTATATATAACCGGAAAGTTACATAGTAAAGATATATAAAATCATTTTATATATAATCCCTTGTCCAACAAGAGTTGTCCACTATAATATTATGGGACGTCCAACAATACTTGTCCACTTTATGAAATCAATGGATAATTTTACACTTAGTTCCTAATTACTCTTATCATTAATTATAGTTTTTCTTTATTACATTTTTCAAGACATTGTATTTATTATATTCAAAGGGTAATATAGTTAAATTACTCTTTTATTTATAGTTTCTTAAGAAGTGTGTAAAGTCAATAGTGGACAACTATTGTTGGACAGAGAAAGTAACATATTTTGACTCCCTTTGACAAGTTTACTTCTTATATTTTGACGTTAATTAATAAAAATCCTAGATCAACCACTATTTGGGATATGTTATAATTACTTAGTTCTTGAATATCATTATTCACTCTTTATTATTATACATAGATTGTCGCTTGTACAATATTTGTTAATCATCAAAATATCATATGATATTGAATGTAGATTCAAAGAACAAGATATCCCACCAAATTTCTCCTTTTTAATGATGATAAATCCATAGCAAATTCAAGTGGACTTTTATAGTAATATTCAAATTCAATTTTCATAAGTTCTTCATGTGCATCTTCCTTCTTAACCACAACTCTTATGTTGACAATATTTTCCTACTAAGAATCAACTCCATATTGTTCAACACTACAACTTCATATTGATTCAACTCCAGTCAAGGTTAACTAACACAAGATGTTGAGAAACAATAAAATAAATATTAAATAATATTATATTAATAAATGTTGACTTTAGGCCACAAATTCTTTTGAAACTGGCTACTCTTGTCCCCATGGACAAAAGGTAATTTTGTAGTTGGCTCCTCCACTACATGTAAATAAAGTTTCATCATCATAGGGATAAGTAATAGCTTTATCACACAATTTTTTGAGTGTTAAAGAGTAAATAGATGGCTTGCAAGTCTGGGGAGAATTATATGCACCAGTACAACACAAATCATCACGATTAAACGCTGAGCATCCGCTTTTGCACCCGATTACTGTCTCATTTTGATCTCGTACTTCTAATTCAACTTGATTTCCACAATGTGCGTCTTTAAGATTTACAAGACAATCTGCTATCCCGCAATCAGGTCTATTTATAGGCGTAACAGAGACGGGTAAATTGAAGCCATCGACAATGCTAACAGAGTAAAAGTCTTTTTCATCAGACGTATTTGCTATTGTAAACTGTACTAGGGTTGCTGGTGGAGTACCACCAGCACCATCGCATTCTATTGAGCCGCTCCTGCAATCTCCGGTAAGGCAAGTGAAATTTTGACCAGAATAGGAGCAAAGATGTCTTGCCCATATTCTTCCTGACCATGGATTTGGTAAATTGAATTTTTTTGTTCCTCTTGATGCTAATCGAAATCCTGTTGGAATCGCCGCTCCTTCACCGGTCCCACTTTGTGTAGCTGGCCAAATTTTGTGAGGACAATTATTCTTTATTAATAATTTGGTTGCATAACACCCTGCACAATATATCAATTTTCATTAGTAATCATAAAGAATAAATATTTATAGACCATTATATAAACTAAACGAGTAATTCGAAAATGAAAATCTAGTAAAAAGGAAATAAAATTTTAAAAAATTGTAAGTGACCTACGAAATCAGTTCTCACTAAACACTCTAAGTGCATATACAAAAAAAAATGTAGTAATATTTATTCATTATAGACGTCTGAAAATAAATAAATAAATTCGTTAACTTGACAAATCTAAAACTATTAATTAAGCTAGGGAATATGAAAAAAAAGAAAAAAAAAAGAACGTTAAGATTACCATAGATGAAGAACAATGAGAAGATAACAACAACGGAGAAATAATTTGCCTTCATTTTAATAAAGTATGAAATGAAAATAGATATTGATTGGATCTATATATAACAAGTCCCTAAAATATTTAGTCAATTATTTTGTTGGCTGAGGTAAATAGTATTAAATGTTGAATTATCCTAAGTATTAAATAAAGGAATATTAAGGAGAGAGTAAATGTAATATAATCTTAATTCTAAGGAGAGTACTAAAGTAATAATTGCAATTTGCAAAGAATATTTGAGGACTTGACCAATTTGGTTTTTGCTATATGTGGTACTCTCTCTTTACAATTTATATGACATTACTTTTTTATTTGTCGATTTAAATTTAAATAAATATTTTACATTTTTATAATGGAAAATAATTATTTATACGATATCTGAGTAATTTATGCATTATGATCGCGACATAATTGCACGAATGTGTTGAAGGAATGAGACCTAGAATTTTTTTTGTCCGATCATGTAAGTGTCCAAATATTTGAACCGCGATTGGACTTTGGCGTGATCGCGTTGATGTAACAATTGTGTGTGTGTGGGTGGGGGGTGGGGGGAGGGGGGAGGAGGGGAAGTTGGGCCAAATTGGGTAGAAGCCCAACAGACATTGTACTTGTAATTATCTCTTAATTTTGTTAAAGCCCATTCATATCCATTTAAAGGGACAGAAATTAGCTGCAATGAGCTTTTAAATCTTGAGATTCTTACACTATATATAAAGTTTACAATAAAAAGTAATTTATTTTTTTTACAAATTTAACTGATATAATTACCATTGAATTTGTAAATAATTGATGTGTATATGTTATACATTTAGTATACACTATGTATACATCGATGATGATTATAAATGATTTGCGGATAATTGGGTGAACTTCTTTATACAACGCTTCACAATAGTGTTAAGATTTTGCTTCTCTATAAACATTGGATTATGGTTATTTTAGTGATGCCCATAATTAGAGTCGGAGTTAAAATTTTAAATTTAAGACTTATAGTATCTAGAAAAAAAAAAGAAATTTATTGGGTTTTTGATAAGTTAATTATACATATTAAGTGGTTAACATAAATACAGAATGAGCACTAAAATTATTAGATTATGTCGAATTCATAGATGAAAGGGTAGCTTTGCATGCGCATCTGCCCATAATAATTAACGACAAACTTTTCCTATAAAATACTTGAAACCTTGTAAGTTTTGAAGAGATATTGTACTCGAGTGGGGAAATACTATAACAAAAGAAATATTTAGTGGTAATAACAGATTCCTTTAAGCGGTAATATTTATTACCACAAACAAATTTAGCGACCAATTGACTTATTGCCATTGCATTCAGAATCACTAATTTTTTTAGCTACATTTATTTAGAGTGTTGACTACAAATAATCATGTTATATTATTATAGCGAAATATAACGACAATTATATTATTGCAGTGGATGTTTTCCCTTCTTATTTTTTTTATATTAATCAAAAGACCAATATTCATTTTCAAGAAATTCTTAAGTTACTATTATCAAAAACTGCCTAATGCTAGTACCTAGAGTGATTGAACTGAAATCTCTAAATTAATGATATCCAAAAATAGAGAAACATTATACAAAATCAATTTAAGTTGGGAAACCATGCAATCCTTTCAATGTAACACACTTTTTCAAAATAAGGAAATTTATTAGTCTAAATGATAATATTTTCCATGATTAGGCCTTGAAATCTTAGTTTGTTTGTAGGAATCATGCCTTACAATATATGTGATAAATTTTCAGAATAATCACTCAATTAATAAATATTATCTCAAATATTTATATTTTTCTTAGTTCAATTTTATTCTATAAGAAATGATTTTACAAGATATAAATAGGTATTAATTGAGTGATCATCGCATAAGCACTATTAAAACTAGCTAGACTACTAAAAGCAAAGCCGGTAGAGAATTTCAAGGTAAATTGAGAAAATTAAAGAATTGTTGACTTAATGGCACCAAAATCATACTTTTATTTCTTTAAGTTAGGCAATAAAGATATTTCTTTTGAATAAATAAAGTTGTGATACTAATTATAGTAATGGTTCATTTTTGTCGTGTTAAATCAATTAACTCGTTTTTTATATTAATTTAAAAGAAAATGTATCAATTCCCTTAAACAAAGAAGAAACTAAGGAAAAGAGAAAAAATAGTCTTTACCTATAATAGCAATTGTTAATTATGGGGATGTAGTTACTTTCCTAAGTACACTACCACAAAAAAAAAACATTTGATGATAAAATAATTTTCTTTTAGTGATAATATATTTTACTGCTGTAAAAATATTTAGTATCAGTCAAGGTAATATCATTATATTCAGAAACGTTAAAGCATTAGAAACATTTATATTTGTTGGTTATAAAAAATCATATTATATTATTATCATTAAATATAATATAACAAAATTATATTATTTTCATTGAATATAATATAACAATAATTATATTATTTTCATTGAATAATTATCATAAAATCCTTTATTTATTGTAATGGTAGTTGAGCCTTGTACATACACCAAAACAAAGGACAAAAGGAAAAGTAAAAGTAAAGCTGAATTCCCAAAATGAAGAAAGGACAATATGTTAAAACATCCACAAACTCTTCACAAGGAATTTATTTATTCAGATGTCCTAGATTACCTTAATATATATATATATATATATATATATATATATATATAATGTGAATTTTAATTTTACTTTTTTATGATACATAATTAAGTAAAAATAATTTTTAATTGTTTAAAATATGTACTCTTGGTCCCTTTATATAAAACTTGATAAGTATATATTATATCAATAAATAAATTGTGGACTTAAGACTTGACTAGCAATAATATGTGTAATATTGTCATATAAATATTTATATTTTTGCATTTTTAGGTTAGAGATTAGATTTAAAATATGATTTAAAATTTTTATAAAAAAAATGGTTATCACCCATCCCAGTCCACGATCCACTTAGAATTGAGCCGATCATTTTAAGGCCCATCAAAATGATGGATTAGCCTAACCTGACAAATTCTCATGCCAATACAAGTTAGGCAGACCTTTATTGACAACTCTATTTTTTGAATTATATAAACCATCAAATATATAGTAACAATACAAATTTAATGTACCACATGGGTAGTCAAGTGATGTTATTATACCTAATTTGTCAAATTTTTGAAGGTTCCAAGTAAGAAGATACAAAAGTTTCCTTTTTAATTAATTGAAGGCTAAAAATGTTTAGCTATTATACACACAAAAAAAAAACAATATTTGAGTAACTAAAAGTACAATTTATTTTTCTTTAAATGTTCATGTAAGATTTATAGATAGCCTTAAAAAGAAAGAATTTAGAACTATCACTATAAAGAAATTTGACCATAAAAGAATTCAAGAAAATGCAAGAATATTATACTTAAAATTTAAGCTTGAGATTTTTGTATTTTCTTAACTTCTTTTTTCGTTTTCTCTTAATTTTACCTTATTTCAAGAGGATAATTTTTTTTTCTTGACCCAAATTTTTTTCTGACATCTTCGAGAAAAAGATTCATTCTCTTGTGATGCAAAATCATAGTGTGACATGTATCCTCCCTTGTTCCGATCATGGTATAGATGAAATAAATCAAAAAATAATTTTTTGTTCAAAAATGAAATTTTATTGGAACTGTCCATATATATATATATATATCCTCCGCTGCCTGCAATAATTTAACTTACAAGAGAAAACACAATTGAAATTATTAATTATTTCAATAACCTCCGTGCAATCTGTTTCAATCTCAATTGGATAGAGACTTGAGAATGTGCCACTTTATTAAGTCCTTTGTAGATAGACAAAAATAAATTATTATTTGAAAAAAATGAAGAAAATTATATATGTTAGAGAATGAAAGGTCTAGTTATGATAAAGATTGCTTCATAAATGATATGAATCTTTATCCCATCCTAGCTTTTGGAATTCCAATCCAATATAGCCAAACAAAGCTTTAGGTAGGTGTGAATGTGAATATTAAAACTTTCCACTAGAAGAAAGTGGTACTATATTATATGTATCTACATTTTCTATAGCTAACTTTGGAAGTTCAAATGCATACTAATTAAATAATAATAATAATCAATTCAAAAAGCATTTTTGAACATTAATTAATATTTGACCAAACTTTTAAAATGTATTTTTTCAAAAATGTTTTCAAATGACTACTATTGGGGGTAATTACTTTCTTAGCTTCTAAAAAAGCAATTTAAGTTTACTATCCAAAGATATTTATTGTCTCTCAAAAGTTTGGTCAAACATCTCATTTTTTTAAAAATAAGCATTTTTACGTAAGTACTTTTGGAGTCTGTTTGAATTGACTTATTTAAAGTATTTTTAAATCAAAATAGTTTTTAATCAATTTTGCAGTGTTTGAGTAAAATAAAAAAATGTTTATAAACACTTATTTTTAAGTCAAAATAATAAAAATCAGTTAGAAATCATAAGCCAAAAGTTAATTAAAAAAAAACTCTTGATCTTCTAAACGTGTGATCAAGCAGACTATTAGAGTTTTATGCACTAATAATATAAAATATGTATGATGACTTATATGTAATTCCAATGATAAACATTAAGTAATGCATAGCCTGATAAGTGAAAATTAAGATGATAATTAATCTATTATAACATGTTAAAATTCATGTATAAAGAAACTATTACCTTCTAATTGGTTGTTGTGGATGCATAAAAAAAAAGAACTACCTATATACAAAAAAAAAAAAAAAAAACTATAGTCTATAAAGAACAAAAATTACAAATGATCACGTTTGGAACTAAACTTGCTATACATGTGAATATACAAATCGTTTTCTCTCTAGGTCCTTTTTTTTCTATACAAGTGAATAAATATTACAAATTGTTTAGATTTTCCTATTCTATTTATATAGTGAGTTAGTTAGTTATAAAATTAGTAGCGATTATCAAAGCCAAAGGTTTCTCTTCTGACTGTGCTCGTTGGAGCATTAAGCCTCATTGGCCG